CAGGAGAAATAGGGGAAATAAATGCAATTAGTCAAAGTAGGGGAGACTATAGGCAGTGCTAAAAGTTAGATGAGTGCAATATGAATTGCAATGCTCCGGCAGATATGGCTATGGCAGCATAAGTAGGAGGGAGATGAAGTGATGGAATAGTGATGGAAGTTGGTAAAACACCCTCAACATCTTGCCTCCCTAACATATGCCAGATTTTGGCAATGAGCCCAATGGTATGTTCACCCTTCCCTGCTTCAAGGATAAATTTTAACAGAGGTTCATGTTTATTTTGTTCTATCAACTGCAGGAGCAAATTCTCTAATATAATCGTCATGGGAATGCCGAACCCAATTGCGCTTCCGTCACTGAGTTTGTCGCCACCAGTGTGCATGCCTAGCAACTGTAAACTATCCCCAAAGATTGGGGAGCCCGAGGACCCTTCTGTGAAATTTGTTTTATACCTGAATATTCTACCCTCTAAATACATGGGATCTTCAGTAATGTCACATAGCTCAATCGTTTTTCCCCCGCCACCAGGATGTCCAATAATGTAGATCTCTTCCATCCCCGAGGGAGGTCCAAATGTACTTAGAATAGCAGGAGGTAGTATCTGAACCTCATGCTCCTGCAGATCCAGCTCCAGTAAAGCAAAATCCAGGCTTTGTTGCCAATTATGATCGAACCCGCCAGCAACAATTTCTGGTTTTACCTTTGAAGACATGAAGTATGTTCCACCCTTCATGTCTTCAAAGGTAAACATGACAGAAACCTGTAAATTTCCTTTGTTAATAATATCCTTAATGACATGTGCATTTGTGAGTATATAACGATCAAACAGCAAGAAGCCTGTAGCTGTCGAGTGGTCCTTAACATAAATGTAACAAACTGCAGCACGGTGCAGAAAGCCTTGCCAATCTTCTTTAGTGAGAGAGACTGTATATTTGCTTTCACGTTTCATTTCAATCCTCTCTTTGAACAAAAATTCTAATAATGAGTATGTGGAAATGTTATATTCAGTCACCCTGCGTATATTTCCATGAGATTCATAATAAAGGATGCCAGCAGAGTGCGATGCTCTGTTTATGAACTGGAAAATTTCCTCAAAGATAAGGGAGCCCAAAGGCCTATTAAAGAAACATGGTATATACCTAATTTCTCGATTCATCAACTGGCGATAACTGGAATATATAGCGAGACTTTCTTCAATAATGGAACTTCTTGACATTTCTATTAAAAGATCCACCTGTAAATAACAATGGAGAAGGTAAGAAACAACTATATGGTTACGTATGACTACCAAACTAATTATCAAGTATAAATTGTAAAGAATTTAGTGTTACAGATGAAAATTCGACATAATGCACACAGAAATTATGGGTTCTGTGTTGGCCAGTCAAGTTCTTCCACACCGAAAACACACCCCACCATGTCTTCATGGACCTTGCTTTGTGCACTGGGGCACAGTCATGCTGGAATAGGTAAGGGCTTTCCCCAAACTGTTACACCTGTGGTAATAGGTCTGAATGAAACACCCGAATTCAATGATTAAAAGGTTTGTCCCGATACTATTGTCCATATAGTCCACTGATCATCAACTGGCGGCCCGCTGAGCCATTCAATCCGGCCCGCGACTGGATTCCAAAATTGTGAGGATCAAAAAGAATTGCCATTTTACCTCTGTTAAGAGACCCTTTCCTGTCACTTCCTCCGTGTTTGTTTTTCAAGTGCTCTATAAATAAAGTTGACTTAGCCTAATTGAGTTGAGGCAAAATATCTATCACTCCTAGTGGTTGACTGTGGTATAGGTATGGGAGCCTGAATCAAATGCCTTCAGTTTTGTAATGAAATGGAAAAAGTATAAACATTAAACATAATGTTAAGCCAAAATTAGATTTTTATTTGATTTTCTTCTTGGGGGTCCGGCCCTCTGACAAATATAGTTGATGACCCCTGGTGTAGACAGTA